AGAAGGAGGGAGGGAGGGAGGGAGGGAGGGAGGGAGGGAGGGAAGGGGGGAGGGGGGGACTGCTTGGGCGTGGAGTGAGGAGATTCACTTTCATTAGGTGGGTAGGTAAGTAGTAGATCGGTGGGTGGGTGGGTGGGTGGTTGACAACAGGGTGTCCGGACGTGCGGCGTCATGTGATGTGATGTGATGTGAGCATGTGACGTCCGAGCTGAGCGGGAACTGGCGGCGGTGGACCCCGGAGAGTGCGATCACCTCTCCCCCGGCAGATTGGCGGACTGATGAATTGATTGAAGCCTCTGGGCGGGAAGCTTATTCTACATCGATCGACACAGTTGTGGATGCGGTCGTAATCCCTCGGGCTTTTCTTTCCACCGTTCGATCCTCCGGGCTGCTGTTGTTGTTGTTGTTGTTGTTGTTGTCGGATGATAGCGGTCTCACTTAAGATAACAACCAAATCCCCTCGGACCCGTCTCCCCCGCACCCCCCCCCGCCCCGCTGCGCCCCTCCCTCGGGCGGCGCTTGGTGTACGTCGGGTGTCCGTACTCGTCCTGCAGTTCTGTATCGCCACAATGAAAGATGACTATCTGGGAGTGATTGGCAGCGACTTCGCGTGAGGAGCCACCTGGGCCCCGGGGTGGAGGGGGCTGAGGGGGTCGGGAGCGAGGAGCGAGACAGTCCCTGCCTAGGAGGGTGACTGGAGGTTTGGAAGGGAGCAGGGGCTGCCGGCGAGGACGGGGGGAGGGGAAGGAGGATGTGGAAAGTGCTTGGCGCTGCTTTGTCGTGATGCTGTGTTGCGGGTCCTGGGCCCGGTCTGAATGCGGCCGTAGTTCTCTCGGAGGTCTGGGGGACCACCTGGGAGGGGCACATCGCGTTCATGCGCGCCGAGCCCAGGCGAAAGGGGGGTTGGGGGAGGATGTGAACGTCCTCGCTCGGCGCCACAAGAAGGCTGCTGACCTTCCACAGGGCCTCCCCTCCGGCTTTTGTGGACGGGCTTCCCCCCCGCATTTGTACGGAACTTGTAACTTGTAATGCACATTGTTGTTTTCAAAATGATAATGTATCGCTATTGCGACACTTCAATCACCATGTCGCGTTAATCGTCATATTCAGCAGAGACAGCAGCAGCTGCTGCAGCTCTATCGTCATTAGCTGCTGACCGCCGCGTCCACCCCCCGACCTCCTTCAGCTTCCCCGCACCGCCACAACTGAGCAGAATGCCATGCACTGCCCTGCCACCGAGCAAGTGACTCTGCATGCGGGCCCCCCACTCTCCGCTCGCACCTATTTCGGGGCTGCTTCAGTGGTCGTACGAGCACGAGCCCTGCATCCTTGGAACCACCTGCACGGGTACGGCTGGGTACGGCAAGGAGTTCGGTGTAGGAGCCAGCCGACCTGCCGCCACGAACATCAATACACCTCCCCACCGCCAGGGGCCCCGGAAACCCCTCCTCCTTACAACACACATGCACATACAGACGCACATGTCGTCGCCACCCTTACTGCAGTAGTGCCTAAGGCCGCCCCGGATGCAGCACTCGGCGGGACATCCTCACTGCTGGGACCCCGCACCACCCGCCGTCCTGACACGGCCGCCACCACGTGTGCCGTTCCTTCCCCCCGCCCAGTCCGCCATCTGGTCCTCCCCGACCACCCGCCGCAGCTGCGGCATGCTGTCCGGACACACGTAGCCGCCCCCGAACTCTACGGCGGCCGCCGCGAAGGAGTCCTCCGCCACAATGGTGGCGGCGGAGGGGGGGGCGAGGGGGAAGGGGCGTCGCAGCACCCGCAGCTGAACTCGCGCTGAGAAGGACTCCACCGAATAGTTCTAGAGGGGTCGGGGGGTGGGGGGTGGGGGAGATCTTGATGTGGCACACTGATCGGGGTCAGAAGGGGGAATCCGATCATACCATTACCAGCAGCAGCAGGAGGAGGAGGAGGAAGGCATATCACCCAACCTCTTCTATTTACGGGACGACACGCCCATACGCGCATACACACATACACACATATGTTCACGGGCATAAGGTCTTGATCGCACACCGCGGCGTGTCATGTGGGGGCTCCATGCGGCGCTCAAGGGTTGCAGGTGCCGCCCCAGAGGGGGGGATGGGGCTGTAGGGGGCCCGCAGCCGCCTGCACCGGGGGACAGTTCTTCCAGCCGGCTGGCTTTGGACCCCCTTTTGACGTTTCTGATATCCCCTCCCCCGCCTCTAGACACCCCGCCTCTAGACTTGTGGACCGGCAACGCCACGGCTCACCGGCTTCGCCTTCCGCGGTTGTAATCAACGGCCTTCGTCCGAGGGGGAAACCAACCTTAGCTCAAAACACCAGCAAACGCGTCGCGTTCAATTTCCATTTTTAAACTATCATGTTAAACTAGGGGAAAGCTGATGCGTTGTACAGCGCGGCCCTACCACCCTATTTTCCCCTCCATTGAGCCCCCTCTCAGAGGGATGAACACACCCGGAATCCGGTACCCGTGGGGCAGGGCAACGCCTGGAACGTGCTGGGGTCCGCCGACGCAGTTACTTGTACGATATGCATGATGCCGTACAGCTCCAGGGAGAAGACCCCGTCGCAGCCGCGGACTGTAAGCGAGCTGAAAAGTGCCGGATTCCGGGGGTCCAGTGCGAAGGGTACGGCAGGTGGCGGCGGGTGGTACGAGAAGACGTACTGCCGGGTGACAGGGATGATGGGTTGCAGTACATGCGGCAGTAGCCCGCCAGCCAGTACGAAGGAGGCCTGCGGGGGAGAGATGCACACAGTGGTGCGGGGGTGTCGGTGGAGGGAAGAGGGGGAGGGAGGAGAGGGAGAGGGGAGGGGAGAGAGGAAGGGCAGGGAGGAGGCGGAGGAGGGGTAGGGTATACCGGAACGCATGCTGGAACTAGGGTTGTCGTGGTTTGAGGCGCAGGCCGTTCTTCGGTAACTCAGTACTGATTGCGTCAACAGCACCGGTAGCAGGTACGACGTTACCCAGTATAATGCCGTACTTCATGATGTTCCCTACGGGAACCTAAGCCAGGAGCCCAACGGGTCTGAAGGGCGACGGAAAGGATGCCGTTAGCCGCTCCATGCGCAAACGTGCAATAGCCTGCCGTACTGGGCGGGGTGTCGTAAAATGGCGATACCCCCTAACCCACCGAACCTATCTCGGGCCCCCCTAGAAGCCCCACCACCACCGCCAGCAGCCCCTACCTCGCCCCCCGCAACCCTCCGGTGCCCCTGAGCCCAGATCCACTGGTCGGGAAACGACTCCCCCCAGTTCTTCTCCAGATGCAGTGAACCCGACCGCCACGTAGCCGCAGGAGGAGGGGGAGGGGGAGGGGGCGAGAGATGCGGCCGCGATCGCGGCGGAAATGGCGGCGCTTCCGCCGCCCGCTGCGGCTCGGATATGGCGTCACAGCTGCCTTCTGCATTACCGTCCGCGTATGTGTCCTCGCGAAGTTCGTATTGTACGGGCGTACGGAGGCTCAGTACGTCGTACCGTAGCCGCAGCAGGAAGCCTAGCCTCGCTGCCCAGCCCTCTGGCGAGGGGGCTGAGGGGCCCGCCCAGGGAGACGAAGCAGCGCAGCAGCCCGCCGCGGACCGCAGCCGCAGGCGGGCACCACCCAGCTGCAAAGCTATGCGGACCGACCCGGGGGTCACCTCCCACATGCAAAAATCCGGATGTGCTGTGCCCCCGTGGTTGCTATCGGCGGGGTCGCCTCCCGCCACCAGCCTGAAGCTGACGACTCTGTCGCCGCTGCCCCGGTGTAATAACGAGCCGCCGCTACTGCCGCCGCTACTGCCGCCGCTACTGCCGCCGCTACTGCCGCCGCTACTGCCGCCGCTACTGCCGCCGCTACTGCCGCCGGCTCCGTCGCAACCGTCGGCGACGGTAGCTCCGCCTGACAGAGGCGGCGTTACAGGGGACTCGACGCGCAGGAGGTCGAAATTCCGTGTGTATAGGCGGGGCGGCTGACCGGTGTTGGAGACCAGGATGAAGGCGGCAACTGCGGGGTTGGGTAGCTCCTGACCTGTAGAGGGAGCCGAGGAGGGGGGCGAGGAGGGGGGCGAAGAGGGGGGCGAGGAGGGAGCCGAGGAGGGGGGTGAGGGTGTGTGTGTGTGTGTGATTAGAGGGGCAGCAAGCCCACCATGCGGGGCATCTGCTATCGACTGGATGACCTGCGAGGCTGAGAGGGCGGTCTGCGAGGAGCATCCTCTCAGGAAAAGGGTACAGCGTTAGCCCTCCTGGTGCTCAAAGCCCCGTTCCCCCGGTACCTCTCCATGCGTCATTGTGTCCGCATCTGGGCATCTGTCGAACCTCCGGGGCGATTGCTGGACCCAACTGCCGGCATCCGCAAATGCCACGTAGGCCTACATACTTAACTACCAAACGACCTACGTACTTAACTACCCAACCACCCACCCGGGAAGTGGCCAATACCCACGGCGAAGGAGAAGGCGCCGCCCTGGTCTGAGACCCGGCAGTACCAGCCCTCGAACCACGAGCGGGAGGAGCTACCCGGCGGCCGCCCGTGCGGGTTGTAGTCGCGGTTGGATACGTTCCCACAGAGGTCGGATGCGGAAATGAGTGGAGTTGTTGTGGTGTGGCTGGTGCTGTCAGGGGTGGGTGGCACACATGACTGCGGGCAGGCGGGCGGGAAGGTGGCTCCAGGCTCAAGGTCAGGGCTGTGGTGCTGAGATCTGTCGGCCAGGGGCGCTTGTAAAGGCCCAAGCATCGCAAGAAGCAGCAATGAAGACCAAAAATAGCAGATGATTTTCATGACAGTCCCTAGGTTTCGTTTATAATGACACCGTGATTATCTGCTGTATGACGGTGTGAGGCGACGAACAGGGTGGTCGTTTTTTCAGTTGCCCGGAAAGATTTGGAAGCCGAAAAGCTTGGCGATTTAGCAAACCAAATAAGCTTTCTGTGGGATATAATTTGACCTCTTATGTAATTGTCTTTAAGAATTTTGGAAAGAAAGGAATCGCGTTTATGCTTCCCCGTCGTATCGACCGGTTTCTTTATGATTAACGTCATACCAGAGGGCCCCAAGGCGGGCTGACGTCAGAGACGCCCCGCCTGTCAGTCATTCAGCTTCAACAAAAACAACCCTGAGCAGGACCACGATGTAAGATGCAGGAGGTCATCCTGCTGGGGGCTTCATGTTATGTTGCCTGCCTCTACGAAGCGGGAACAATATTTTTCCTTGACCTTCGCTAAAGGCCTTAATAAAACGATTTTCACGTGTAAGCTTGCAGGGCATCTTTGTTCTAGGTCCGATCCCGGAACCCACATGCCGGTGGCGGGTAAACGGGTGACTTGCAGGTTTCGCGCCAATCGGCGGATCGCCTACCTTACCTACCAACAGTGAACCGTACTTTCCGCAGCTTTCCAGTCCTTTCCGCAACAACCTGCGCAGGGATTTGATCTATTGCCAAAGGCCCAAAGCATGAAGCACGACTTTCCTATCGCTCTGAAGCAGCAGGATGCTTTGTTGTCGACGTACTGAAACAACAGCAAAAGTTGTCAGCTATGTAATGCTCCTGCCTCTTCAAGCCCCTCCACAAATGTGGTGAGATCGAAAGACCCCGATTGATGGGTTGTGAACCATCTTAATGACTGTTCACCGACAGAAGTACGACAAAGCGCAACGGATTAAGCGCAACAAATACCAAGGCGGATACCAAGGCGGATAGGAAAGCGGATAGGAAAGCGAGACAGTGTAACGACTCATGTTCGTTACATACTTCCCCTCCTAATCGGCTGGTCGTCCCGATAGCCCGGACGTGCAGTGTTCAACTCCACCGCGGTGTTGACATCATACCTCCGTGAAGACGGTGCGGATGTGCCAAGGTCGGGATTGTTGACAAAAATTGAAGTCCGCTGCCCAGACATGGAGCCTAGCATCTGCCATGAGCAGCCGGAGATATTGCTGGATATATGCCCTTTGGGCCGGGGCATCAGCGCTTGGAAGGTAAGCACTGATTAATGTGAAATTATGGTCTCCCCAGCATACGGGTAGGCACGGTAGGCGACCGTCTCCCAATACCGTAGGCTAGGCCTGCAACCCCAGGAAGATTAAAGCCCCGCTGGTGAGTAAAGTGCGGCGGGTAAGGATGGCTGTTCCGCCTCCACGCCGGCTATCCAGCGCGGGGTCCCATCAGGATACCAACTGGCCCAGGTGGAAAGCCTGAGATAGGTTATGGAGGACCATGATTCATGCTTGAGACATGTGGTCCTCAGTTACCCTTGTTTCTTGGAGGCAAACAATATCCAGCCGCTGCCGAGCCCATTGACGAATTGGGCTGTGTGTTCGGCAGTGTTGTTGTATCCTTAGGCCAGGAAGCTGCGGATGTTGTGGGAGCACATGCACCGGAGCTGCGTGGCGACCTCCCCAGGTGGTGAGTCCCGGGCATTGCAGTGCAGGGGGGCAGGTCCATGCTGGGCCCAATACCCGATGGGGTATCGAGCACCTACGGCCACGTGTTGGCTAACGGGATGCCATCAAGCTGGAGCTTTACGAGGGGCAACAGGGTTTCGTCGGCATTCGCCATGGGTGCATCATCCTCGGCGCTCTCCAAGGACAGGTCCCGTGGCAGGGTCTGACGGTGAACTGCTCACGTGGTATACGGCCGGTCCGCTTCATCAGCTGCCAGGTCTGTCTGCAAAGGGCTGTCGGTGATGAAGTCCCACCACGCTCCGGTGGTGGGCGAGATCTCCCGCTGCTAGGGTACAGCGGTAATTCCATCCCACTGCTCCATAACAGTGGTTGTTGTTTCCTGCCGGGTAATGGTGATGGCAGCAGGCGGTGCGTCCTGCTGTGTGGCGACAATGGTAATACCCTCCCACTGCCGAGCGGCAGCAGCAGATGCAGCTATCACATTCGGTTGTTACAGACGGGCCGGGGCGCACTAGGGGGAGCGGGGGCCTTCACGCTGGGCCCCGCCCAAGAAAGGCGAGTGTAATGAAGGCGGCTTTAGGACATCATGAGATGTAGTGCTGTGATGGATAATGCCGGGTTTGGCGGTTCTGCGGGAAGAAGTTGCGTTGGAGTGTTGGTGCAGTTAGCCCCAGCCACAGATGGCCTCGAAGGTGGTCGTGCGGCCGTTCTCCTTTGAAGCCACCGCCGCATCCCACAGAGCGGACTTTCAATTACCGGTCGCTGCTTGCCACCAATGTCGCCGAAGGCAACATCGCCATAGCCATCGCGACACTGCACGTCGCCGAACGCCTCAAGCGTCCCCGCCGCCACCACCGGACGCAACCAGCACTCCTCACATGCGCCGGTGCAACGACACCAGTGGGATCCAGCTCCTCAGCCACGTAGCAGAAGCAGAGCGAAGCAAGGTTAAGCGGAAAGGAAACATAGCTAACCGCATTACCGACCTCATCACAGCCGTTCGATGAAGCCGACGTTACCGGACACCGGTCGCACGACCACGCTCCCCCCTTAGCTAGAAATGCGCTGCCTCATCAGTGCACCTTGGGGCTATCGCGCCGTTACCCCTCGCTTGGAAGAGGCCGGTGTGTAGACCTCGTAAGCTGGTAGTGGTCGTCCTGGGGCAGCCACTGCTGACCACAGAGGCACAGGGACGCCGCCGCCGCCTCAGCGCCCAAGTAAGTGCCCGCAAACCCTCTTAAAGGTCCCCCTTAGAGAAATGCTCCGTCTGCCTTCCGAGGCCGTCCTCGTTACCGTTCAACCACTCTCTGTTCGCACAATCAAACAATAGGCCCTCCAAAGGGCACCTGGACGCTTCCAACTGTAGTCACGAAGTTACGTCACCGTACAGTATTCGACCTCGTTCCCCGTCACCCACCAAAGGAAGAGGGCGGATAGGGCCGTCGCCCTGCAGCACCCACCTCTCACGTCGCGACTTCATGCGACCCACCCCCTCTCATGTCGTCCCGATATACATCTTATCCCGAATTCCAACATTTCCCCAATTAAATATTGCATGTGGGAACAAAAATTCCCCTCACCATCTGCCGGTCCGGATGAATCGCGTTGTACTGTATGATGTACTTATGTATTATGAGGAGAACCCGCGCTCAGCCCGCACACCCAACAATCAGATTATCGTGGTACGAGCTAGTCGCACCATATGTACGGCACTATGCTAGCCTAACTAGAAGCAACAGCAAGACAAAGAAGACAAGCTATGTGCAATTATGCACTACACCGCCTATATATGCTGTCGCTCAGGTGTGTGTGACGCAGCGGTGGGGGGCTGTTGTTGTTGGAGAGAACGGCGCCACCGACGACATGGCGAAGTCCAAAAGGGTCTAGTGTCGTAACCTCACACACCGACACGCAACGGCTTCAGAAAGCAACGAAGTCACGTCTAGGCTGCTACGTCTACGCTGCCGCCGGCGTCTGCGCGACTTGGCGTGCCCGGCAACTGCAACAGATCACAACTCTCCACTCCGCAATGTCTCGTCAGAAAGAAGAAGGAACACGACTATACCGCCTGCGGAGGCCACCGCTGCGCCGCGAGCAAAGCCTGGAAAACGGAGCAAGGCCGCCTGAATGAAAAACCAAAGTCCCAGCTAGCTTTTCAACACCGCAAACAGCGCCAGCAGTTGGTGGTACAGCTGGTGCTGCAGCTAGAGATGCGACGTATGTTTAATCATTTGCCCTTTTGGCCCCGCCCCCGGCCGCCTCCACCTCCGCCACCGCCTCCCGCCCCCCCTCCACCCCCAATCTTGCGCATGAAGGCCTCCATATTGAACTCCTTGCTGTATTGCGACTCGTCCCACATCTCCCCCATAGCCGCCAGAGCCGCCGCCAAGCCGCTCTTCGGCGCCGCCTTGCCCTTTCTGCCGCCAGGTCCCTCGCCCCCTGCCTCCGCAGCAGCCGCTGCCTCCACCATCTCCACCTCCGACGGAAGCATTGACCCGGCGGCGGCACAAGCGGCGCCTCCGCTGCCTCCGGCGGCGCCAGCCCCGAACACATCGAGTAGCGAGGCGGTGTCCATGTTGTCCATGGACATGTTGTCGGCGTTGACGACCGCCGCCGCCACGTCAATTTTGAACTGCTGGAGGCCCATGACCCGCTCCTCCAGAGTGCCCCGCGTGAGGATGCGGTACACGTTGACGGTACGGCGCTGACCCAGACGGTGTGCACGGTCCATGGCCTGGTGGAAGCGCACAGGTCGGGGTGCGGAGGAGAGTGCGAGCGAGTCAGTGCGAGTCAGTGCGAGTCAGTGCGAGTCAGTGCGAGTCAGCACCCAGGTGGCTACGCCCCCAGGGACCTACGGTAGCCGGTCAGGGCGTGGTGGGTGGGGGTGCTGGGGGGGTGGGGGTGGGGAGAGATGGAGGGCACTATGCCACGTGGTCCGGGAGACGGCTGGACAGGTGGCAAACGCGGAGAGGGCCCCAGCACACACACACAGCACACACACAGCACACACACAGCACACACACAGCACACACACTCCCCGCTCCCCGCACCTGCATGTCCTTCATGGGGTTCCAGTCGTGCTCCAGGAACACCACGGTGTCGGCCGAGGTCAGGTTCAGACCCACACCGCCCACACCAGTGGTGAGCAGCAGAACGTCAATCGTGGGGTCGGAGTTGAAGCGCTGCACGATGCCGAACCGCGCGCCAGCCTCTACGCTGCCGTCCAGCCGAAGATAGGACACGCCGTACGGTGCCATCAAATCGCGCTCCACGATATCCAACAGGGACTTATGCTGCGCGAAGACGAGCATGCGGTGGCCGCTGCTGTTGCCACCGCCGCCTTCGCCAGCGGCGGAGCCGTCGCCAGAGTCAGCGGCATTGTCGCCGCCGCCGGGGCCGCCAGCGGCTGTGGCCGCGCTAGCCGCCACCGCCGCTTCCTCGTCGCCGTCGGTCGCAGGAGCGATGATGCCACAGGTCGCCAGCAGGTCCCGAAGCGCCGCGAGCTTGGGTGAATGCTTCAGTCGCCGCAGCGCCGCCTCCACGCCCGCAGGCTCGTTGGTGCGCAGGACCGCCGTCGCCGCGGCCCGGTGCGCAGCCAGTCCCAGGTCCATGACCATGGCGGGATGGCTGCACAGCTTACGAAGGTACTGCAGCGACGCAAACACGTGTGGGGACGCGCCCGCGACCGCACCTCCGCCGTCACCGGTATCGTCACTGCCGGCGGCAGCGGCCCGCCGAGCTTCACCCGAGCGGAGCGCCTCCACGGCCTCGGCACTCGCCTGCAGCGACACACGAAAAGGAGCGATTACGAACGTTCCGGCTTCCAAAGCCGTGTCCGGCTCTAGTTGACCCGGTACAGGAGGTTTACTCCTCCTGTGGTTCCGAATTGACCGCTCTTCGCTCCCCTCTCGAGGTGCCCCCTCATGGAGGTGGAGGTGGAGATGGAGGTGGAGGCGGCAATAATGAGAACGCATTATAAGGAGGCTGCACAGCGGGCCTCAATCAGTCCTTGCTTCCCGCCCCTGGTCCCCTCCCTACCATCCCTACCATTCCGTCCTAGCCCCGGCCCCACCGACCCCCTCCCGCACCTTGGACTGCTGGAAGTCCGCGTACAGTCGCGCCTGCAGGTCGCTGAGGTCGCAATAAATATCGGTGATGATCTTGGGCGGCAAGTCCGCCAGCACCTGGCCCTTGGTGCGCCGCAACACGAAGGGCAGCAAGGAGCGGTGCAACCCCTCCAGAGCCAGCAAGCCCGCCTCCGCCTCCCGACTCCCCCTCTTGCTGACACGGGCCTCCTGCCATCACCACCACCACCACCACCACAGTTATCATCAGTGTTGGTTGTTAGTTGTAGAGGGCGGGCACACACAACCACCCGGGAGGGGCCACTAAGAGAGGCCCACAGGTGGGGGTCGACGGCAGTGTGGGTGCTGACTCCTGGCGACGGGGAGCTCGCTCAAATCGGCCCCTTCCGTGCAGGAGTAGGGGTTACCAATTGAGGCGCGTTGTGGGGCAGCGGGTTGGCCAGCTGTGTCAAACATGGCGACTGACAAGGCGGGCTTCTGAACCGACGTGGAACGCCTACGCCTGTATACACATACGTACATACGTACACACACACACACACACCTCTGATCACGCACGTGTTCCGAGGTGTTCATTCAGGACGTTCCCCACTGCCGCCCGGATCAACCCACCTGCAGCGCCTTCCCGAACTTGGCTCTGAAGGTCCTCTCCTGCCCTAGGAAGCCGGGCATCAGGAAGTCGAACAGTGACCACATCTCCAGCACATCGTTCTGGATGGGTGTGCCGCTGAGGAGCAACCTGAGGCGCAGAGAGGAGGAGGAAGAATAGGAGGAGGAGGAATAGGAGGAGGAGGAATAGGAGGAGGACGAACAGGAGGAGGAGGAATAGGAGGAGGAGGAATAGGAGGAGGACGAACAGGAGGAGGAGGAATAGGAGGAGGAGGAATAGGAGGAGGACGAACAGGAGGAGGAGGAGGAGAGGGAAGGGGAAATCATATGAGACATGAAGCCATACACGCACACACACACACATAAGCACGTGTGTCTCTGTGGCCTTTGCGTTCAGGCACTGCCGCTGTCAGTAAATCCCGGAAAGCTGTTGTGCGTTCTCGAGTCGGTATGGGCCCAAGCTGCGGTTGAGCCAGCAGCAAGATATGCTCCACAGCCGCCGCCACAGCGTGCAACGGCAGCGTCT